ACCCGAATCTGCCCGGGCTCTCCAGGGCTATCCAAAAGCAGCAGTCGCTGAAAGAGGGATCGGAAGATCGCCGATCGAGTTCGCCGGCGGCGACGGCGACGGCGACGCCTAATCGGTGCCATTATTATTACCCTTACAACAATGATAATAATAATAACAATAAATGTAATATTAATTGTGAGGGCAATACGACGGCGTATAGAAGAGGGTCGTTGAGAAAGAGTGGGAGCAGATCGGGTGTGGATAGTAAAAATGGGGTTCGGGTCAACCCGGTTCTGAATATAGCACCGGCTTACATTGGCAAAGGTACTGTGAGTTTGTTTGGGATTGGTTCCTTCTTCTCTAGCAGTAAAAAGTCCAAGAAGAAGAGATAAATATTTATTCTTTTTTTTGTTTGTTTAATGAAAATATATATTTTTGTTTTTTTATTTGTTTGTATACAAATATATAGGTTGAAAACGAGTTTTTTTGGTTAATTAGAATCAATTTCGAAGAAATGAGGTATAGTTAGTCGTTAGTGGGGTTTTTAATTTTATGTTAAAATAATATTTAAAATAAAATAATTAAAGTTAATTTGATATAAATATATGAGAGAGATGATATGAAGTGATGATTAGTTAAAATTATGTGAATTGATGAATAGCGAATTAAAGTTGACGATATATGTAAAAATGATTGGTTGATATTATTTAATTATATTTATAATATTGATGATAATGGAGTTTGAGTTAAAATTAAGTTAGATTTTGAATATGAATTTAATGTAGATTGAAAATATTCATAAACAAACACACCTTTTGGTGACTCGACTTGCCATGCCCCTATTAAAAAAGTAAATAAATTATAATTATGTTATGAGACATAATATTATTCTTATGTTATTTTTTAGTATGACATTTAGTTTGAAAAATACACATATTGAAAATGTATAACTGTCTAATCGTCTAACTAATCGCTTTACAATTGGTTTTAGCCTAGTGCACAAGGGCCTCTTTTTTCGCTGAAACTAGGCATGGCCACAGGACGATTCGAATAATTGAACCGGCCCAAAACTACTTGGTCAAAATCATTGACCATGGGCCTTGAAAACCAACTTGTGGTTTTATCTGAGCCGATTTAAGTTCTTTCGAAAAATTTATCTGTCGATTCCGATTTCAAACTGAAATTGAAACAGGAACCAGCGGTACAACGCTGGAATTTTTATTATTTTTTTTCTGTCCGACCAAGGACCGGTGGGCCGATTCTGAACCAGTAACCACCAGTTCCTTGAACCGACACGTATCTATGCCCGGGTTGGTTCCGATTCACATAAAAAAGCGAACTTGAACTAACGATTTCAATTCCAAACCGACCCGTAGACAAAGATTAGCCAAAACATGTATGATTGTCTATCTTTAAACTTGCATGATAATGACTTTACCGATACTAGTTCGAAACCAAATAAAACCAAATTCATTAGAAAACGAACATGGCAATTCAACTTACTTATAGATATTTCGATTTGGACTTTCTTTTTCATCTCTTCTGATGAGTCTCCTCCTAGATTTGGAGTAAACTAGTTGAAATGAGTTTCGATCTGTCTGAACCGCCTCTAGATGACCACGAACACCTGCAAAAACTCAACGCCGGAGTGGTTTTCAGCGTAGAGCCTCCGATGCGTAAGTCAGTATCAAGAAGGGAGAAGATACTCTGCAGAGAGCAGCATCAACAGCACCATATGAAGAATGTGTAGAGAATGTAAAAAACTTGGGTTTGGTGTTATCTCAGTCCCTTTTATAGAGAAAAATCTCTGCCCGGAATGCCCCTGTCAGTATGCTCGGTTTATCAATATCCTAATCACTTCTTAGTCAGATCTGCGTCGGCGTAAGATTCCCTCTTATCCCTTAAAGATTCATCATTATCCATTAAGCCGATTGAATATTCTTAGTTATTGCACTCCTTGAGCTGCAAGGTGTAGGGGGTCGACCTCGAGCCACAGGAGGTCGACTTAGAATTAGTTGAAGGTGATAAGACCACTATTTTGGGAGATCTCGCCACCTATCCTTAAGTCGACCTTGAATTTCTGGTGAGAGACCGACCTCGACTTGTGATAAAAATGAGGTCGCCTCGAGGTATGGATGTCGATTACAAAGTATCGTAGTGGCAAAAGGAAGTCGACCTCGAGTTGTGAAAGAAGTAAGGTCGACTTCAAGTCATAATGTCAAAGGGAACTGATGTTCTTATACTTGATCTTGGTCTTTTCTTAATGCTCTTAAGTTGTTCATTAGCTAGATCCTGGGATTGGACCCTTCTTCAGGTCGCTCTCACGAGTACAACTCGACATCCTCGAGTTGTCGCCATTCAGTCATCAGTCGACTCGAGGTGTTGCGCCGCACTTTAGTTAACAAGTGGATAGCTCGTCTTGACACCCGATTGAGTTATTAGTACTTAAACCGGTTCATCGTGATATGACTATATCAGCTTCAAAATAAAGTTAAATAGAATATATACAACACAACGCAACATACCAACTAGAAAACATATATTAAATTATATCATAATATTATGTGATGCGGTCGTAAGAAGCGGTTCATGGAGGACCGGTTGTGATCTGGGTTTTAGTCGTACTTAGCTGGGTGGTTCAATCTGGTAGGCGC